CGGGGGCAGAAAGGGTTTGGGACAGCAGGGGGATGGAGGTGCCGCTGAACCCCAGGGGTACCGGCGTTGGGGGCAAAACAGCGAAGATACTTTTCTGATTAAGAACATGAAACGTGCTAAAATATCTCTCTATCTATCATCTATCCATAAAACGTGCTAAAATACCTATCTATCTCTATCTAATCTATCATCTATTCATCTATCTATCTATCTATATCTATCTATCTATCTATCATCCATGTATCTATCTATAAAACATGCTAAAATACCTATCTCTATCTAATCTATCATCTATTCATCTATCATCTATGTATCTATCTATAAAACATGCTAAAATACCTATCTATCTGTCATCTATGTATCTGTCTATCTATCTATCTGTCTATGTATCTATGTATCTATCTATCAAACGTGCTGAAATACCTGTCTAACATACATAAATGTCTGAGGGGTGGGTGTCAAGGGGAAGGGGACAATCTCTTCTCAGTGGTGCCCAGCAATAGAACAAGGAATAATGGGTTTAAGTTAGAACATGGGAAGTTCCACCTTAACATGAGGAGAAACTTGTTGGCTGTGCGGGTGCCGGAGCCCTGGCCCAGGCTGCCCAGAGAGGGTGTGGAGTCTCCTTGGGACCTACTCCCTTCATCATCCTCGAAGCTCTCCGTTGGACTCCAACGAAGAGCTTCGAGGATGATGAAGGGACTTGAACATCTCTTCTCAGTGGTGCCCAGAGAGGGTGTGGAGTCTCCTGCTCTGGAGACTTTCCAACCCGCCTGGACGCGTTCCTGTGGGGCTGCCCTGGGTGACCCTGCTCTGGCAGGGGGTGGCACTGGATCATCTCTAGAGCTCCCTTCCAACCCCAACATTCTGTGATTCTATGATTCTAAAAGCATTAGGGTTGAGGTTTTTTTTCCCTCCAGGAAGATGCAAGCTGTGCAGAGGAGTGATTTATTAAATGCCAACCTGGGCTAAGGGGAGAACATCATGCTGCAGCTTTACATATACACAAGGAACAGATTTTAATTACTTTTTTTAAACGCAGGTCTCACTTTATTCTGAAGTCTGCTTGCCATTATTCCAGCCTTAGCACAGGGACCGTGCCAGGATGTAAAATAAATTACATTAGAAATTATTACAAGGTATTGATTGCTGGGAAAATAACTAGCACCTATCTCCCCTATTCTGATGGCAGGATATCCTATGAGCGTGGCAGAGTAACTCCTGGAAAAAGCCACCTCATTCGCCAGCTTCTTACAGGCTGCGAAAGGTTTCACGCCCAGAGTTACTCACACACAAACAGGTGATCCCTGACGTATTTCGTAGAACTAGAAAAGATAATCCCACCACAAACTGGCGTGCTTAAAAGAAAATCCCACCTTGCAAAGGTTCTAAGGAAGAACAAACATTTGGCTGATCGATAAAGAGAAGTGTTTCTGAGAAGCAGCCTCATGTCCCCAGCTGTTCCTAGTCTGCTGCGGGGCTGAGCCTCGCCGGAAGCACAGCGGGCAGAGAGGAAGTCCTGCTGGCAACGCGCATTTTTTAAACTTGTAGAAGGAGGAAACTCTATCAAAGATCAAGGGCATCAAGATCTTTGGAGCTTGGATGCGTTAAAAACGGATCCAAAGTTAAAAATAAGCTGAGACCAGTTCTCTCCCACAACTTGTCTCGGCCAGAATTAGCTGTTCCCACAGCTGGGCTGACTAAAAAAGCTGAAGTACGGGCCCCCAGCTTCCCTTCCAGTGCAGCAGCATGTTTAAAAAAATATAAATCGAGATACGGAATCACCCCTCCTTGGTTTGCAGAGAGACTGTAAACCCAGCCTAGGAAAGGGAGAGAGCAGGGGGCAGTGGTGGCACGACTGGCCACACAATTAAAAGATAAAGGGCTGTTCTGGCCAGGGAGCCTGGGCCAGAAGAGCTGGAATTCTTTCAGAGATCTTCCTTTGGTGCATTAGTTTTTATCTGCTTTTCAGCCAGTGCCACCACTGTGTCTTTCCTCGCCTTCTCTTCCAGCTTCTCTGACACTTCACATCCTTCCCCTGGGATCCTGTCTGCTCCCTTTGGTTCTTCAGGTATCTGAGCCACTTCCTTTGATACCACCTCCGTTGATGCCACCTCCATTGATGCCACCGCCTTTGATGATGTAGCCTTTTCCAACACAGGTGATTTTATATCAGCCATCATCTCCTCCTCCTTCTTCTTCTTCCTTTGTTTTCTGCTGTGCTGTGAGGCTTTAGCTATCGCCCTGAAGGGCCCCACAAGCCAGTTCAGAGGGGTGTTCTGAGTTACGTACGCAAACAGGTCGTCTAGGGACCTGCGGGCTTCTGCCACACAGTCCTGGCTCTGGCTTAGGGTGGTGCTGGAGAGGTCCTGGAAAGACATAGCGCTGGAAAAAGAACCGTGGAGCTTGTGGATACTTCGAGTGGCTTGATACACAGCTTCTTGGATGTTGGTGGGCAGGCCTTGGATGCTGGCTTTCAGATTCTCATAGACAGGCTGTAGCTGCTGGGTGATGATACGCAGCATAGCTAAAGTCCGAGGCTCTACCTGCTGGGAAAGAGATAGAGCTCAGTTACTCGAGCAGCGGAGATGTACACCAGCCACAAAAGGCCTGATTAAATGCCCCCTTCTAGGGATACCTCTACTTGGGAGGCAGTTTTAACTTGGTTTCCTTTGGGTTGGGTCAGGCTCCAGTCCACCCACAGCTGATGGAGCTTCTCCTGCCCATCCAGAAGCTTCTGGCCGACCTCTTCTTTCACAGATTCAATCTGATGGGAAAAATGAGAGGGACAGCTGTATTGCAAGCACGCGCCATCAGAGAAGCACAAAGTGCTTCCCTTCCCGGGTAGGATCCAAAATGCCACGCAGCTGGTACAGGGTGGAGGAGGAGCTTTCGTCTGGATAGTAGAGCAGGAAGACTACAGACAGGAAGAGAAAGGAAAAAGCATGTTTGTACCAATTTTATTGCCAGTTGTAGTCGTGAGAGAGTATCCTGGGTGCTTTGCTTAACACGCTGCAGTTTGTTCAGGGAGAGCCGGTAGGCTCGGTGGCGGACTTTGTTAGAGAGGGAACCCAGCCGCACAAAGTAACTCTGCTGCTGTTTCTGCTCCTCCACAGAAGCCATGCAGAATCCCTCGACCGTTGTGGCAAGTTTACCTGGAGGAAACAAGAACAGAGATGCAGCTGTGCTCCACTACCCCGGCTGTAAGGGGGGAAAAGAGGTAAGATCACCCATTGAGAAACACGAGGCTGAAGCTTGTGGTGTGAACAGTAGAGGTTTGTTGTTGCTCAGATATTAAAGGTCGGCTAGTCCCTCCTCAACATGTTCTCTTCAGCTAAGCAGACTTGACAGATAGATCGAAGCGTGCACCCACACATTGATTTGCCTTGAGGCTGGTGGGCAAGGACCTGCTAGCAAATGCTTGAATTCTGTCCCACACCATGTGACGAGTCAGTGTTGAGAGCCAGCCGGCTTGGTGACAAATTTGGAGCTACCTGTCTACTTCAGGAGACGAGTCTTGCGGTGTCAGGTGCTCTCTAGTCATGTGGGAAAGGCTTTGTGTTTACCAGCGCCAGCTAAGTATTTTCTCACCTAGTTCTTCCTCTGTCATCGGGAGGTACTGATCCACCAGATCTTCTGACATGCCCAGGACAGATTCCACACCGCCTGCCACTGTCTGGCTCACAGCCTTGGCTTTGCTTAAGCTGTTGGTCACCACTGAATTAGTTATCTCCACACCCTCCTGGATAGCCTCTCTGCTCTGCTTCAAGGCTGTGTTTATTTTGCTGGTTACGGTGCCATACGCAGTATCCAGAGCTGTATTGACTGTAGAAGCGACCATCGATTTGGTCTTCTCAACACTGTCCTGAACGGCCTCTTTGGTCAGGTCCATCGCTTCAGTCACTCTGTTGGTCACAAGATCCTTTGCACCCTGGGCAGCCCCGACAGCAGCAGTAATAGTAGAAGTAACTGCAGACTTGGTCCGGCCAACACTGTCCTCCATGAGATGTTTAGTGAGGTCCACGGCTTCGGTGACCTTGTTCGTCACAAGGTCTTTGGCACCTTGGGCAGCTTCCACAGCATTGACAATAGTAGAAGCAACTGCAGACTTGGTCATTCCAACGCTGTCCTCCACAAAGTGTTTACTGAGGTCCACGGCTTCGGTCACCTTGTTCGTCACAAGGTCCTTGGCCCCCTGAGCAGCTTCCACAGCTTCGGTCACCTTGTTAGTCACAAGGTCTTTGGCACCTTGAGCAGCTTCCACAGCATTGACAATAGTAGAAGCAACTGCAGACTTGGTCATTCCAACGCTGTCCTCCACAAAGTGTTTACTGAGGTCCACGGCTTCGGTCACCTTGTTCGTCACAAGGTCCTTGGCACCTTGGGCAGCTTCCACAACTTCGGTGACCTTGTTAGACACAAGGTGTTTGGCACCTTGGGCAGCTTCCACAGCATTGACAATAGTAGAAGTAACTGCAGACTTGGTTGTTCCAACACTGTCCTCCACAAAGTGTTTACTGAGGTCCACGGCTTCAGTCACCTTGTTCGTCACAAGGTCTTTGGCACCTTGGGCAGCTTCCACAGCATTGACAATAGTAGAAGCAACTGCAGACTTGGTCATTCCAACGCTGTCCTCCACAAAGTGTTTACTGAGGTCCACGGCTTCGGTCACCTTGTTCGTCACAAGGTCCTTGGCTCCCTGAGCAGCCTCCACAGCGCTGTTAACAGTGGAGGTGACCATTGACCTTGTCAGCTTGACACTGTCCCCAACAACGTTTTTGGTGAGGTCCATAGCTTCAGTCACTTTATCAGCCATTGCTTCTTTTGCCTCACAGGCAGCATCCAGAGCAGATGTCACTTTGGTGGAAACCAGCTGCTTGGTGTCTGAGATTACCTACAAGAGGGAGAGGCAGAGAAAAGTATATTCTTTTTTTTTCCTTAAATAGGTTTTCCCTCCCTACTTCAGGCATGGGAGGCAGGGTGTTCCTTATGGCTAAATCACAATCTCGTGGGAAAGCTGAGGAGGTCAGTACACCTGTATTTATGGGGGACACGCTCACTTCCACATGCTGAAGGCATCACTCCAGCTTTCATCAGCTTGCAGTGCCTCCCCTAGCCCATACCAGGAACTGACCTGACAAAACAGTGCTGCTGAAAGGTATTTTCCCATATTCCTCTGTAACAGTTCCATCAAGCAAGAGATCAAGTCATGGCTTCCCCAGGAGTAACCTTTACTTTACCTTGTCTGCTGGCTCTTGAAGAAAAGGCAAGTTCTCCTCCAGTTGATCCAGTCCTTTACAGGCATATTCATTTACAAGAGCAACTAGAAAAGACAACAGGAACCAGTTGATTCTTCAGTTTGGACAGGGAGGTTTGACCCTACGATGGCCAATTCAGGGTACACTCATAAAAGCAAGCAAAAAAAAAATCACCGTTCTGGGGTAGGGTGTGTGTGGGGATGTCTTGTTAAAAAGCGAAGAAAGTTGGAAAGTGTCGGGTGAGACACACTGAGCTATATCCAAGGTGGACAGTGCAACTACCAGTGGGGCTGCTCATACCTTGAAGTGATAAAAGCAGGAGATTTTGCTCAGTGACTTAAAGAAGCCACAGGCAAGAGGCCAGACTTTGTTTCTGTAACAGTTTCATGTCCATGAAATCCAGTGGTTTCGCTGAGCAGGTGCTGAGAGGAAGGCTCAGCGCCACAACTACCTAGAGCAACGTGCTGTTGGAGGTGGACATCATCCCCCAGGCACGTGAAACTCCCCTCCTCGCTACTCCTCTGTGCAGAGGGGGTCCCTCCAGCCTCTCCACTTACTTTGTGGCTCAAGTTGGTTCAGGATGGGCTGTGCCCCACCGACCACGCTGCCTACTGCGACGGCAGCCACGGTCTCAGCCACGTTGCAGACACCGCTGAGGTACGGGTGCGTCTCCTTCGTATAGTTGTAGGCAGATGAGACCAGGTTAAATGCAGAGTTGAGCAAGGGCAAGCTGGTGACACGATTGACAGCGCTCTAAAACCCAAGAGAAATATGTGACATTAGAGACCTAACCTCAAGCTGGTGGGTGAATACATGTGTCTGCGCAGAAAGGTCCTAAGGGGACATCAAGTCCATCTCCTCATCCTTCTTAAACTCAGAATTGAAGTCAGTGCAAGTCAGTGACAAGCCAGGATTAAAAGTTTGAGCTCTGGGCTCAATTCTGAGTCCCACTGGGTTTCAGCACCAAACCCAGATGTGAAAACAGGACCTTTAACAGCTCATGTTTCAGAATTCCTCGAGCTGGCCCCGAAGTTTTCTCTTGAGCAAAAAAAAAAAAAAATTAGTTTCTGTGTTAACTGCCTTTAGATTTACCCTCAGCTTCATACCGTTAATCTTTCTGCTACTTCCAGTCTGGCTGCGAGCTGCTGGTGGAGTCACGGTACCAGCGTATCTGCCGTCAGGTAGTTTAACTGTTACATGTTAAGAGTACCAGCCGCCCTGGCACCTACCTCTTGCTGCTGCTCCTCACCCTTCAGCACATCTTTTTTTGTGGCCTTTTCTGATGCCATTCTGAATTCAGCTGCAGCTGAAACGAAAAACAAGGGTGTAACAGTGTGAGTACTACTTCATTTCCTCTGGTGAATTAAAGCCGCAGCAAACCTGGTGGAAAGCAGAGGGCACCCCAGCTGGGATCTGTCACTCAGCATGGCCTGGGAGCATTAATGTGACATCACTCATCTTTTTGGCAGGGCTGTGGAGATACTGGAGAGGCTCCATGATTCTATGTGGGACAAGGACCATACTCAGTCATCTCCCTCGATCCCCAAATACGTTAAACGAAATAACCATCCTGCTTTTTTTATTGCTAAGACAGTAGTATAAGTAATTATTTTTCATTTTAATTTTCAAAGTGTGGCAAACTCAAACAGGTTAATATTTATTTGGAAAAAAACCAAACCCTGAACTTGCTGAATACCCTTTAAGGGGGGGGAAAAGCCCTCAGATTTTCTCTGCTTTGTCTGAAGCAGAGATGGGGTCTGCAATGGCTTCATCCTTTTAAAAAAAACAAACCACCAAAACAAACTAAAAATCTGGCAGGACTTCAGCTCTGCTTCAGAAAGGTGTCAGGACCAGAGACTGAACAGAAATGCTGGGACAGCAATAGGTGTATTTTACCTTTTTAATTAGCATTTGGTGTTTCCAGCCCCTTTCCTCTGAAGGGTGGCTCTGGGGCAGCCTTTGCAAAGAGAGACACTTCAGAGTCATCGCTCTGTTCATCCTGGGGAGCTTTTATGGGCCTCCCCACCACTGCCAGCTCCTGCAACCCTTCCTCTGGGAAGGGTATGGAAATCCTTCCAAGTTTTCCCAGAAGAGTGAGTCAGGTTTCCCAGCTGCAGCGTTCTGGCTGGCTACCTTGAAACTTGTGTCCCCGTCCTACTGACCAGCTTAGGCAGGAAATCCCTCCTCACTTCCTCTGAAACCAAGTCTCAGAAGTATTCTCATTACATAATGGGGTTAAAGAAGTTAAAGAATAACAATGATGCAATATCTTGAACGTGTACTGGCCTCCCCAGCATAGACCTAGGTCAGTATCTGGACACTCCAGTATCGTGTGATAAATCCAGGATTACTTCTCAGCCTGAGGCAGAGCCGGGATTTCAGAGTATTTCAGCGCAGTGTCCGCTTTTCTCTCCCTTGCCAGTTAATTCCTATTCTTAGAATTTTCCAATAGAAAACCCCCAAACCAAAATTGCTCACAGTCTAGATTCCCAAGCCAAGCGCTGCTCCAGGCTCGCTGGCAGGCTCTACCCCCCCAAAAAAAGACTTGCCAGCTGATTTGTGACAGGAACCATTGTCTTATTTCTTGTCGTCTTTGACTTGTGTAAGGTTTTTATTTTGCTGTGGGAACAGGAACAGAGATCTGAGGAAGAAGTAGCGAAACGAGCATTTGTTAGCCCTGGCCTGACCGTGGGTAGAGCCGGGGGAGACATCTCGGGAGGTAACTCGGCAGGATGTCAAGTGTTGCTGCATTAACCATGCAATTAGTCAGCATTTTAGCGAGATTCAAGCAGGGCAGCGGTGCAGGGTGCTACATGTCTGCAGCAAAACTTGTCACAACAGTTGGGACCTCCAGCCTCTCAAGCGAGAAGCCCAGAACCGGCGCTGCCTGATTGAACAGGGCAGCAAAAACACAGCTTCGACTTTATCATCCTCAGAGAACTTCTAGAAAACCGCTCCAAATAAGTCCCAAAGTCCAGAGGGTTTGCTCACTCAGTGGTTGCTCTGCTTTAGGGCAATTTTGTTGGCTGGTTTTTAGTGGTTTATTTTTTGTAGCCCTGTCATGGGGCAAAGCACAGTTATTTCGACACCATTGCAAACAGTCCCTTTGCTTCGTTATTTTACTTTTAGACAGGTGGGAAACACTCAAACAGCAGAGTGTCTTGCTGGCCTTGGTGTCAGGGTCAGCACACAGACCCACTGCAGCCAAAAAAAAAAAAAAGTAGGGGGGGAAAAAAAAAAAAGGAGGACTCTAGCTGCCAGCATAAGTCAGGAGTAATTCCTTGGCTGATGTAAAAATTAGTAAAGGGGAGAATCACCCTCTGAAGTACTAGGGGCTCATCTTAATTCTGGATGCAACTGTGTCAGTGCCAGCCCTTGCAGCAAGGTCATGTTAGAACCTGATTTGCTCTCCTCGCCGAGAGAGGGATCGGGGTGTGTTGCAACACCAGAGTGGGTTGTGTGGGCAAGTCTTCCTGAGCCCACAGCATGGTTTTATTTTCTCTTTCTAGTCTCTCGCCTGCAAAAGTGCTGAGCAGACCTCGTTTCACTTCGGAGCCTGCAGGAAAGCACAGCGAGTGGCAACTCCAGGGCAGTTGTTGCAGAACCCTTTGGAGAAAGGGTCACAGGAGTCACAGACCCCACGCGAGGGAACCACCAAGCAGAAGAGAGGAAACCGTGTCACCCTTTGTTTTGGTGACAGTTCGCTCTGTATGCAAACGACCATCCGATGACTTCATGCCATTGCTACATCAGAAATATGAGGTCACTGCTGGGGAAAGTTTGTGAACCAGGCAGTTTCAGAAGGATGAAACTTCAGTGCACGTTTCTAGCACGGCACGGTAGCTCAGCTGCTGCTCACTGCCCAGTTTGGCACAAGTCTGAGCTTGGCGACGCGGCGAGGGCACCGCAGATGCCAGGCTGCTCCGGCTTCCCCGCCTGGGTCGGACTGGCAGAGCCTGAGCAACGTGTCAGCCTGGCAGAGGAGCCAGTCCCTTCCTCCCGGGGTAAGCGCCTCTCCTGACTTCTGTCACGCTGACAATGACCAGCGTACATAAAGCCAGTTCTTTCACTTGTTTTCTTTTTCCTGTGGAAAGAAGCTCTGCCCTGTGAAGCTCTGCTGTCACGTTGTCCTGTGGACAGAGCGGGGGCTTTTCTCCCCTCCTAATTCCTTTTACCTTGGGAAGACAGGCGGAGCCATGGCCTGCCTGGGTCAATAGCTGAACTGGCAATTCCTTAGCGATCCTTTAGGAAAACAAAGCTAAACTTAGTGCTTTAGATGTGAGCAGGGAGCGTTAGTCAGGGCAGGGACAATAGTTTGTGGTTAAAGCACTTATTTACATTCTTTTTGAGATTTGCCACTGATGCCCCAGTAACCGGAGCTGCTGGGTCAGAGGGAGTCTGAGCGGCTCTGCCCGCACCCGCACCCGAGGGAGTCGTTTGCAAATGCTCTCAGGGCAGAGTCAGTTTTAGGAGGAGGATCAGATGATTTTCAGCTTTCACCTTAGGACATTAGTTTCAGATTTGCTGATGGAGGTGCCCATCTCACCTGGCTGGAAAAGCCACCAGCGTTAGGGAACCTCAGAGACGAAAGGGACTCCTGCAGAGGCAGGCAGGGTTTCCCCTCCCACAAACTTCCAAAGCAAATTAAGCACCAGAGCCAGTGGCCACTACTAGGTCAGTAACTCCTCAGGACGGTGGGTGCAGAAGCTATCCAACTCCTTCTGGGCTTTCCAGAACTTTCCATTTACCACTTTTTCCATGAGGGCAAAACGCTGAGTTCCAGACAGAGGCTGTAACTCGCAGAACAAGCTGCGTGCTGCTCGCTCTTTAACACAAGATTTTCACCTGGAAGTTTCAGCAGAACCAGCTTCAGCAACTGAAGTCCTCCACAGCCTGCGCAGTTTCAGGCAGTCACACTCACATGCAGGAACCCTGTTAGTCTTGAGAAACGCTGAGCTCGTTTCCCAAAACGATTCTATGACTCCATGGTAAGCGGCCAGAGCCCTGCGTGGCTGCAGCCTTGAGCAGACAAGAGGTTACCTTGTCACTCATCCCCCGCTCTTCGTTAATGTTATGATCATGCCTACACCGAACGATCACGCGAAATGGCTACAGGCGTGTCTGGCAGCCCCGTCAACAGGAAGGG